GTAATCAGTCTCACAATAAATTGTACCCAAAATGATTTTATGAGTTCTTGTCTTATCAAAACCAATAATATTAATATCTCTTATCAAGACACAAAAATGAGATTAGCTTATGTTGGCACGTTCTCCACGAGCCATTTATTTACAGATTAAATGTATTTACAACTATGGCGAGTCATGAATAAYTGATGACATGTTGAACCAGGTAACAACTGAAAGAGTTTGCTATCACGAGTGAATAAACAAACAGACAGACAAATAAACAAACAAACAGATAAACAAAATAAATACTGAGAAGTGAGTTTTGCTTTTAGAGTGAGGTGAGGTAAGTTGCTTTTAGCTGTGGATGTAACTAAAGACTCCTAGTTAAATTAGGTAGAGAAAAGCATTTAGTTTATCAAATCTCATACAAAGATAAAAAATCAAATTTACGTCTGAGCACCTGTGTGTGTCACCAAGACAAGTGTTCACCTTTACCCTTTTTGTTCTGGCTTGTGGGTACCAGGAAGGGAAGTCAGCGGTGGAATGTCATCTCTGGGGTTCGTTCTCCAGACAGCTCTCCATGCAAGCTGGATGTCAGGCGGTCTGCCTGATAAACTCGACTGGTCCCTTGGTCAGAAAAGGGGGTCACTCTCTGGTGACTCGCAGTCTGGTCCTCCAGGTGGCTGCAAGACTCTTAATTTGATTTCCACTTTGGAGAGAAAATGAACTAAAATGACGCATGAATTACCATTGGCTTATCTGACTCCTATAAAATCAAACTCAGAGACTGAGCCGATATGGAGCGAGAGCTATTCGATCAATCAGCGGGAGATGCAGACTGGTACCATCCTGTCCAGCCATGGGGAAGGCTGGCAGGGAGGACCCCTGCTGGGCTGTGAAAGCTGTTTCTGGCTTGATGTTGAAAAGATCTCTTCATTCATTCACTGTCTCAAAAACATAACCGTCTTGAGAGCTGCACTAACTTTTAAAACCTCTGTTATGGGRGGAGTCAAGGTTTTAAGTTGGCCAATGAAAATCTTACACCTTATACAAGAAAAGTTTTTAACCAATCAAATGTTTTGGAGGGAAAACTTTACTTCAAGACAAAGAAAAGGGAGTGTTTTAGTTTAATTATCTTGCATCTAATTAAAGGG